TCTTTTGAAACTGTTAAAAGTTTCAGTTTAAGTCACCTCATACCTGCCAACATTTGGTTCATAAAATCAGAGAGAAGGCGGAGGGGGTTGGCTGAACTGAAGAGCAGGGGGATTGTTGGGAGGGATTCTGTGAGTTTGCAGGTAAAGGAAAACAAAACAAAACAAAAAACAAATCCCAGAATTCTGAAAAATCTTTTCAAACTGTTCAAAGTTTTGGTTTAAGTCACCTGATACTGTGTTTTCATGTGGACAAATGGCCAAACGAAACAAAACAAAACAACCACACTGAAAAGAAAAGAAATTCTTTTGAAACTGTTCAAAGGCCATACAGCAAACAAATAAAAAATAAACATGAAACTAAAATGAGGAGAAAATAAACTAAAGAAAAACAAAACAAAATCAGTTTTTTTTTGTTTCAGTTTCAGTCACCTGATACTGTGTTTTCGTGTGGACAAGTGGCCAAACAAAACAAAACGAAAATGAAAGCTAAACTAAACTAAACTAAATTAACAAAAACAAAAGACAAAAACAAAACCCAGAATTTAGGAAAATCTATCGAAACTCTTTCAAAAAGTTTCAGTTTAGGTTACCTGATACTGTTTTAATGTGGACAAATGGCCAAACGAAAACAAAAAAACAAAACAGAAACAAAATAAAACAAAACAAAAAACAAAACAACCACACTATACCCAGAATCTTAGAAAATCTTTTGAAACTATTCAAAGGTCAAACAGCAAACAAAACAAAAGAAAAGAAAACCAAAAACGAAACAAAACTAAATGAAAACAAAACAATCACACTGTACCCAGAATTTTGGAAAATCTTTTGAAATTAGTTAAAGGCCAAACAGGAAATTAAATGAAAACAAAAACGAAATGAAACAAAACAAAAAAAACTTTAAAAAAAAAAACTAAACTATGCCCAGAGTTTTGATGAATCTTTTGAAACTCTTCAAAGTTTTGGTTTCAGTCACCCAAAAATACAGAATCTGTGTAAATTTGTCTCCATGGCAACGGCCAAACAATAGCAGTTCTATGTGTGTGTGTTGATGTCTTTCATATACACCTGCCCTGTTTTACACCATAAAACCATTACTGTCTGCTTTGAGGCTGATGCGTGCTCTGTTTGGAGAATTAAGTGCCATAAAACCTTTAGAGAAGTCAACTCTCCACTCTGGGACTCTTTACGACGTGTTGGCTTTACAATTTATAAAGTTTAAATGTAAAATTAATTGTCCATTCTGGTCTGCTTATTTATATGCCGCTAACTTTGTCTTCTAAACAGAGGTGTGTCAGAACTTAAACTTCAAGATATGGAGGTCTCAGATTGATCTGTATGTAAATATATGATATATTTAGCTCTTGAAAGTCTACTAACTGCAGGATTGGAATACTGTCAGAATGAGAATACAAATTAATTTATTAGAGCAAGATGTTTTGCGATGCAGGTCTGTGTTTTTATACTTGTAAGATGTGATATAGTGCATTATTATCACTCACTTGAGCAAGCCGGGGTAAATCTTCACCACCTCTGTGTCTCTGGGTTTGGCTCTGAGCAGCCAGGAATCAGACGCAGCGTCTTTAAAGACAGATTTGTTGTCCGGTGTGCCGTTACGGTTGATAATGTCCTCGGTGAACAGACCCTGCTGGCCGTAACTCTGCAGCTCGTAATCCTGGGCTTCATCTGGGATGTAAAAGGCTCTGAGTGCAGACTCCTGCAGCAGATATACAGAGTTCATCAAACATTCCCTATACACTTACACACTCAGAGTTTAGTGTCCTGGAGCGCTAATGTTTTTTTATCTAACCTATAATTCAAAGCATTTCCATGGCAATGATTAACAGTTGCTAAATTAGTGAAATAAATCAGCAAATGAACAAATAGTGTCTGAAATGAGCACAGCTGCATTCACAATTAGAAGGTGGAGTAAATATCTTCATTGGAGAATATTAAGTGCACAATGCAAAACAAATAATTTTACTCCCCTTCTGCTTTATAATGTGTAGCCCCTGCCCTTCTGCTTAACAATTGATAGCTCCTCCTCTTCTGTTTAACGCCTGATAGCTCCTCCCCAAAAGCTTATCACCAGATAGCTCCTCCCCCTTCTACTTAGCAGCCGATAGCTCCTCCTCCTTCTACTTACTCCCCTGACAGCTACTCCTTCTTCTAATTAGCACCCAGATAGCTCCTCCCCTTCTGATTAACACACAGTGGCTCCTCCCCTTTTGCTTAACACCCGGTAGCTCCTCCTCCTTCTAATTAGCACCTGATAGCCTGTCGCCTTCTGCTTAGAACCCATTATCTCCTCCCCTTCATCTTATCACCTAATAGCTCCTCCCGCTCAGCTTAGCACCAGATAGCTCCTCCCCTTCTACTTAGCACCCAATAGCTCCTCTCCTTTATCTTGGCACCAGACAGCTTCTCCCCTTCTACTTAGCACCCAGACACTCCTCCCCTTCTTTTTAGAGCGCAATAGCTCCTCCCCTTCATCTTAGCACCAGACAGCTTCTCCCCTTCTACTTAGCACCCAGACACTCCTCCCCTTCTTTTTAGAGCGCAATAGCTCCTCCCCTTCATCTTAGCACCAGACAGCTTCTCCCCTTCTACTTAGCACCCAGTAACTCCTCCCCTTCTTTTTAGAGCGCAATAGCTCCTCTCCTTCATCTTAGCACCAGATAGTTACTCCTCTTCAGCTTAGCACACAATAACTCCTCCCCTTCTACTTAGCACCGGATAGCTCCACCCCCTTTTACCTAGCCCCCGATTGCTCCTCCCCTTTTAGGAATTTCAATTGCATTTATTCTTTTTTGAATTTTCAAGTAAATCCATGCAGAAGCATGTGATTTGGGACGCCACTATGATCTTTATATTGACAGATGAAAGCTGAGCATGAGTAAACCTCTCACCACCACTTCCTCATTCTTGATGATTCGAGGGATGGAAACCAAACGGAATAGATTCCTCTTGGCTGCATCGTCACCATCGAAAACCTTCAGCGTCTGTTTACCTGTAGAGCAGAGACAGTGGTGTTCACACTGAAAATCCCTCTCAGATATGATGTCACTATCAGTTATGATGTCACTGCAGTCAGAGATGATGTCACTCTCAGGCATGATGTCACTTTCAGACATGACGTCACCCTCAGGGTTGATATTATGTCACTGTCAGATATGATGTCACTGAGATGTGATGTCACTCTCAGACATGCTGTCACTATCAGTTATGATGTCAATGTCAGACATGATGTCACTCTCAGACTTAGGCGAAATGTGGCGCAAGGCGCAATAGTCTTTCGCTAGTTTCAGCTTGGCGCAAGAGTTGTTTTGAGGCGTTGCACTACGCTGTTTAAATGGCAAATACATTAGCTCTCATATGTGCGCCCATAGGTGTTCTGGTTTAAAAAAAAAGAAAGGCGTTCTGAGGCGCACGGCTGGCGCGTTGCTATTTTGAGAAACTAAAATAGATTTTTCAATAGACCAAAACAAACCCGGTCTAAACTCCACCTCGCTTACACACTGCTTAATAGCCTACACACAAGATGTAGAGCAATACCCAAATATCTTTACATATGAAAAATAATTAAAATATTAAGGATATATTTATGTCTTCTTCATCTCGGGAGGCTTTTTCAGTTCATTCATAACAATTTGCTTTTGTAGAATGTCATTATTATTAGCAGTATTATTTATTATATCCATATTTATGTTAGTTTTGTTAAAAACAAGCTTAGATTTGCCCACCTGCAGGTTTTAGACCATATGGGGCACAGCATGTGTTTTAGGATATAACTCAGGTTTTTGAGCACACTTCATTATTATTGTTCATTTATTGGTTTGCTGGAAATTAGAACTGAATTTAGAAATAGTTTTGAAACGAATATTTGCGCTTAACAAACGCAATTAATTATTTATAGACTAATTGATGTCTGTGTAAAGGTTTCCCTATCCAAGAGCGAAAGTGAAAGTAGATCCATTATCTCTCATTCTCACGCAGTAGATGCTCTGTTTAACAGTTTTCTGTTAACTGTTAACTGTTTGCTTGTGAAATGCTCAGTTTTTCTACTTAGACTTACTTTACGTCCTGTAAATAGCGAATGCGCTTATGGCGCGACGCAGCTGGCTCTTAAAGGGAATGGCAAATTCTCAAAACACACCTATAACTCATTAAGAAAATAAACTCAACCCTTTTAGACCATATGCCATGGCGCAAAGCGGATTTTCCCGTCCTTAAATTAGCAAAAATGCATTCTGACACGTCCTGAAAGCGTTTGCGCCCTGCGTTTTGCGCTCTGCGCATGGACCGTCAAAATAGAGCCCATGATGTCACTTTCGGGTATGACGTCATTCTCAGACGTGATGTCACTCTCAGACATGATGTCACTGTTGGGTATGATGTCATTCTCAGACGTGATGTCACTTTCAGACATGATGTCACTTGGGTATGATATCATTCTCAGACGTGATGTCACTCTTGTGTATGATGTCACTCTTGGGTATGACGTCACTTTCGGGGAATATTTCATTCTCAGACGTGATGTCACTCTCAGACATGATGTCACTCTAGTAAATGATGTCACTCTCGGGTATGATGTCATTCTCAGACGTGATGTCACTCTCAGACATGATGTCACTCTTGGGTATGATATCATTCTCAGACGTGATGTCACTCTCAGACATGATGTCACTCTCAGACATGATGTCACTCTTCTAAATGATGTCACTCTCGGGTATGATGTCATTCTCAGACGTGATGTCACTCTTGAGTATGATGTCATTCTCAGACGTGATGTCACTCTCAGACATGATGTCACTCTTGGGTATGATATCATTCTCAGACGTGATGTCACTCTCAGACATGATGTCACTCTTGGGTATGATGTCACTCTCGGGTATGATGTCATTCTCAGACGTGATGTCATTCTCAGGTATGATGTCATTTTCAGACATGATGTCACTCTATGTTGTTACTCTCAGATATGATGACACTGTCAGACATGATGCCACTCAGACATGACATCACTCTGAATATGATGTCACTCTCAAACATGATGTCACTGTCAGAAGTGATGTCACTGTCAACTATGATCACATTTAGATATGATGTCACTCTCAGATATAATGTCACTGTCAGAGATGATGTCACGGTCAGAGATGATGTCACTGTCAGACATATGTGACAGTCAGAGCTGATGTCGGAGTGCTGCAGGTGTGTACCTGTGTCAGGTGAGCTGCTGGACTGAGCGTCTCTCGCCGTCACTGGACTCTGAGTGTCCACATCATCCAGGTTATCTGGAAAACACACTTCTCCATGAGCGCACACACAGCATCTTTTATCTTACATGCAGAGCTTTAATTAAATGAATTGATTAATTGTGCTTTCTCCCAAAGTCTCATTTTGAATGCATACAGATGCAATTGTAGAAATATGAATAAACACAGAGCTGAATTACTGTGCTCAGTCATATTGGAGAAATGTCCTGGGTTGAGCAGGAGTTCAGTGGTGAATACTGGAGAAACTATTGATGGAGCTTTGAGTTTGTACAGCACAAATCACACTTCCTAATGCATTTACAATGTAAATCTCTGGTGGACATTAAACACCGCATTCCTGAAGAAGTGAGTGAGTGAGTGAGTGAGTGAGTGAGTGAGTGAGTGAGTGAGTGAGTGAATGAATGAATGAATGAGTGAGTGAGTGAGTGAGTGAGTGAATGAATGAGTGAGTGAATGAATGAGTGAGTGAGTGAGTGAGTGAGTGAATGAATGAATGAATGAGTGAGTGAGTGAATGAGTGAGTGAGTGAGTGAGTGAATGAATGAGTGAGTGAGTGAGTGAGTGAGTGAATGAATGAATGAATGAGTGAGTGAGTGAGTGAGTGAGTGAGTGAATGAATGAATGAATGAATGAATGAATGAATGACCTAAAATAAAAATGAATCCATTACTTCACTTTTGCAGCTGAAAAGTAATTTCATTTCAGTAAACAAGTTCACCAGACCCAGCACTGCCCTCAGAGCTAAAATGAAGTGCACTACTGTAAACAGAGTTTCTGCTTGTTCAGCACTTGTCGGATGAGTAAAATGATTATTTAATACAACAACAGACGCTCTTCACAGAAGCCAGAACATTCCTCCTCATCCTCCAGTGCTGTTTCTCAGTGAAACTAATGCATAAACTAATGTTAACAAGCACAACTTTGGGCGTTAATAATGGGCTAGTAAAATGTAATAAATGTAGTGTGTGACGCACCCATGTCAGAGTGCTGGGAGCTCTCGGAGATTCGGTAGCAGTGCATTTTGCTGAAGTTTCTGGAGCAGATGCGCACGCAGCCGGGCTGGAGAATCATGTTGCGCAGCCGGCCGAAAACACACTCTGATGAGACGCAGCACGATGCATGAGCCTGCGCACAGAGAAACACACCTTCAGTGCATTCACATTCACATTCACTCATTTAACAGATGATTTTATCCAAAGAGGCTTTACAAGTCAGGATAAAAGAAGCACGGTATAAGGTCCAGTGTATAAATGCTTTGACACGTTATTTTATTTTATTTATATTTTATTGTATTTTTAATTAATTTATTTTAGTTTATTATTATTTTTATTTTATTATACATTTTATTTTATATTTACTTATTTTATATTATATTTATTTATATATTTTATTCTATTATGTATTTATTTGTCTTTTATTTTATATTTATTTCATTTTATATTTATTGATTGATTTATGTTTTATTATGTATTTATTTAAGTGTTTTTTGTTTTATTTTATATTTTACCTTATTTAAATAATTTAATATGGATTTATGTTATATTTTATTATGCATTTAAGTGTTTTATTTTTTATTTTATTTTATATTTTATTAAATATTCATGTGTTTTATTTTTTGTTTTATATATATATATATATATATATATATATATATATATATATATATATATATATATATATAAAAATGTAAATATTTATGTATTTGATTTTATTTTAGTTTTATTTTTTTTATTTTTTATGTGTTCTATTTTATTTTTAGTTTTATTTTATATTTATTTTACTTTATATTTATTCATTTATGTTACATTTAATTTTATTATGTATTTATTTATGTGTTTTATTTATTTTATTTTATATTTTATCTTATTTAATTTATATAAAAATGTTATTATGTATTTATTTATGTGTTTTTTGTTTTATTTATTTATTTTTTATTTGTTTCATATTTTATTATGTATTTATTTATGGGGGTTATTTTATTTTTTATATTTATAGTTTTTTTATTAACTCAGTGCATTAACTAATGTTAACAAGCACAACTCTGGATTTAATAATGCATCAGTAAATGTTGAATAATGATTAATAAATACTGTTCAAGTATTGCTTATTTTTAGTTCATGTTAGTAAACACTTTAACTAATATTAAACCACTTGAGGGAGAGTCAGTGACGAGTAAATATTCATATATTGGGCGAGCTGTCTCTTTAAAAGCCTTTTAAAGCTGAGATTATGGAAAGTGGCTTTACATTTCTGATATACACTAAAGCTGTTTGGGCAATCACAGCACAGCACAGCAGGAGCTCAGCTGGCCAATCAGAACAGTAGGAAAGCAGGGCTTGTGGAAGCAGAAGTCAATTAAAGGCAGAAATAGAGCTGCTGTAATATTATTGCAGAGAGCCTTTCAGATGGAGAGCCTGCAGCGTGTCCTGGAAAAACCTCCAGTGCTTCCATCACACTGAAACACTGATGATGCTGCTGTTCAGAGGGACACCGTGATGCTGTTTATGACCCCGAGCTAAATAAAACATCATGCACAAACAGCAGAGAGATGCTCAGCTGAAATCAATGGTGCTCACACATCACACACACACACACACACACGCACACCACACACACACGCACACCACACACACACACACACACACACACACACACACACACACACACACACACACACACACACACACACACACACACACACACACACACACACACACACACACACACACACACACACACACACACACACACACACACACACACACACACACACACACACAGCTGACCATAAGACAGCCGAATCAAAACTCGAAAGAGACTCATGGTAATACAAGTAGTGCAAAGTGATGATTTTGAGCAATTTGTGGCTAATTTTAATTAATTTGATTAACAAAATAAATGCATTTAATGGCAGAAATGATCAGAAGTTCTTCTTTTTTCTCTGCATAATTATATGCACTGAGATGTACATATATATGGGGGTAATGTAGAACCTTTTAAACACTGTCTTTATTGATTTTACATCCAAAAATATATATATAATAAAATAAAATATATAAAAAATAGAACAATAAAACAAAAATTTATCACAAAAAAATAAAATTTTCACAAAAAATAAAAAAAATAAATGAATAAATACATATTTTTTATATATTGGGCCTAAATCCTATACACAGAAGATCTCGCAACTCAAGCTACAATTAGAGGGATACAAAATTAGCTTTAGCTCTACTATAAAAGATCAATTTAACTTTTGAAAATCATATATCCCACGTCACAAAAACTGCCTTCTTTCATCTGAGAAATATCGCTAAATTACGAGGTATGCTCTCCATCTCAGATGCAGAAAAGCTAGTCCATGCTTTTATGAGCTCTAGGCTGGATTACTGTAATGCTCTGTTTGCTGGCTGCCCAGCATCCTCTATTAATAAACTTCAGCCAGTACAAAATGCAGCAGCCAGAGTTCTTAAAGCTCTAGAAAACATGATCATATCACCCCAATGTTCTCCTCCTTACACTGGCTGCCTGTTAAGTTTCATATTGAATTTAAAATATTACTTCTCACCTATAAAGCTCTAAATAATCGAGCTCCTGTTTATCTAACCAACCTTCTGTCTCGCTACAATCCAACTCGCTCTTTAAGATCTCAAAACTCAGGGCTTCTGGTAGTACCTAGAATAGCAAAGTCTACTAAAGGAGGTCGAGCCTTCTCATTTATGGCTCCTAAACTCTGGAATAGCCTTCCTGATATTGTCCAAGGCTCAGACACACTCTCTCAGTTCAACACTAGATTAAAGACCTATCTGTTTAGTAAAGCGAACACTCAATGCATCACTTAGCAGGTTTCCACACAAGTTTCTGCATCTTGTTTATATACACTATGAACAGCAGCTACGCTAATTATTCTCTTTATTCTCCATTTCCACCTGGGGAAACTCATCCCGAGGTTTTCAGATTATGCTGAGTCACTAATAGGATCCAAGACCAGCGACGAGATGATCCCATGGTTTCCATATCCGGGACCAGGCCGTACCCTGAGCAGCTGCTGTGGTGGTCATGGAGGAGTGGAGAGCATGAGACTGATTCCAGTGATGCTCCAGGGACAGACGAGTCTTTGCTGAGGCCAGCTTCCAGCCTCCGCCACTGAGACTGCAGCTCTGCACAAGACGTTTGGCCAGTGGAGAAATTAAAATGGTCGTGCCCAACTGAGTCTGGCTTCTCTCAAGGTTTTTTTTCTTCACTTTCACCAATCCCTCACTGCTGTCGCCACCAGATTGCATGGTTCGGGATCTGTAGAGCTGCGCATTAATGGATTTGCTCTTCAGTGTTTGGACTCTCAGTAGTGATTATAAAATCACACTGAACTGAGCTAAACTGAACTGAACTGAACTTAAACACTGAAAACCTGAACTACTCTGATCCAAATCCCTATGAACTTCTATGTGAAGCTGCTTTGACACAATCAACATTGTAAAAGCGCTGTACAAATAAAGCTGAATTGAATTGAATATCTCATTGACCCCTGACAGAATAATGTGTTGTGTGTGTGTGTGTGTGTTGCATGAGGATCTGCTGTAAACACTCACAGTAATGCCGCACCATTCGCATCTGATGCCCGCCAGAACGTCTGAGGAGCTGCAGACGCGGTGGCAGAGCTCACAGCGGGCACCGGACCCCATGTTGCCCTCCCGCCAGTGGTGCTGGTATGTGTCCTGCAGAGGAAAACCGCAGTGCAATCAGTACCGTGCGACAAAAAAAAACGTACATCACGGCCTTCCTAAGAATTGTCAGTCACTAAAAAGCCCCCCTCCCGCCAATTTGAGTTTGAGACCCCCTGCTCTACAAACATGAGATGTTTTGTTAATGTACTTGGATTATTTCCTGTACTCTGTGTACATGCACACTTACAATGTCTTGTCCTCCATCCTGATGGCAGATCCTGCAGTCGCTGACGCTGAACGGAGCGCAGTCGCTGTGGACGTGCAGCTCACACACTGAAAACACAACAGAAATACATCACAAACATCTTTACAAGGGTGTACATGCACACAGACTTTACTGTTTCAGTCAGCAGCCCAAGGAGGAGGCGTTGAAGATGAACACTGGATGACTCTTGAACGCTTTCAACATCAACAGCCTGAGGTATCAAGACATCTGTGCTGCCCATTACATTACAAACCACAGGAGAGGGACAATTCCCCAGCAGGATAGCGCTCCTGCTCATACTTCAGCCTCCACATCAAAGCTCCTGAAAGCAAAGAAGGTCAAGCTGCTCCGGGATTGGCCAGCCCAGTCACCAGATATGAACATTATTGAGCATGTCTGGGGTAAGATGAAGGAGGAGGCTTCCACAGACTCTTGATGAGCTCTGGGAGTCCTGCTAAAGCTTTCTTCTTCATTCCAGATGACTTTATTAATCAGTGATGTGAGTCATGTCAGAGATGTATGGATGCAGTCCTCCAAGCTCATGATGGAGTCAGACACAATATTCATTCTGTCTCCACTGCAGCAGGACTTTATATTCTATACTGGACATTATTTCTGTTCAGTGATGAGACTTTAGTCTGAGCAGAGTCAGACCGCACTGTCCTCATCAAATCAGTCATAATCAAGGCATGATCATATATATTGGTGCTCAAATAAGCAAAATCTAGAGGCGCTTACCTTTCATAGAGACACTTCTGACACCAAATCATCAACTAGAAGACCAGTCATTATTTACTGTTCCTAAAACTTGGATAGGGAACACCTGGGGCCTGTTTCAGTAAGGAGGTTCAAACAACTCGCAGTTTAAACTTGAACTCTGAGTTGATTTACCGAGAGATTAAAAACTCTGAGTTTTCAGTTTCAGAATAGCTGATCTGAGTTGGGTCAATCAACTTTGAGTAGAGCAACTCAGAGTTAAGCGCGCGCACCGCGACTATAAAAAGGCATTATCAATAGAGCCCAGATATTACGAGTGACCATGGCAACATCGTAAAAAAGAGATCAGCATTTCTTTCTCCGGCTGAACTTAATGTGATCATGCAACATTATAGCAAATATGAGTGTTTATATTTAAAAAGAAGCAACCATCAGTGAAACTTTATCTTATATGTTTGGTGATTGTTTGTACTGTGTTGATGGATGGGATGTCTGTCTGTTTTTATGTTCTGCAGAGCAGGAACCTGCTGAAAAACAGCATTCATGCTGAGTCAGGCCCGATTATCTTTTAATCTTTTCCTGTTTAAAAAATTATAAATAAAATAAATAAATAAAAACAGAGACAGTTAGCGTGGGAAAACAGCTGCTCAAGTTAATGCGTAATTTTACATTTAAAGTATTTAAATATTTAACTATAATAAAGTAAGTAATGTAATGTGTGATGTTTATACATTTTTTCTAAACTTTTTTACACGTTTATCAGTTTTAATAGATTTAACAGTGCACTTGTTATATGTCTGCCTTTTTATTGATCAAGTGATAGAGGTTCAAACAACTCGCAGTTTAATCTGCAACAAGAATCAGTCCAAGGCACTCGAGTAAAGTGAAAAAATTAAAAAGCCTTTATTCACATGGCTAAATCTCTAAAAACCTACGCGTCACTGTTACCCTGATGAAGGCAGACTTCTGCCGAAACGCGTAGGTTTTTAGAGATTTAGCCATGTGAATAAAGGCTTTTTCATTTTTTCACTTTACTCGAGTGCCTTGGACTGATTCTTGTTGCAGATTTGATGAATCCCTTACCCAAAGAGCACCGACCATACATTTGAGCTTACCCCAGAGCGCTTTTTGTTTGCTTTTTCTGGAACTCGCAGTTTAAACTTGAACTCTGAGTTGATTTACAGAGAGATTAAAAACTCAGTTTCAGAATAGCAGATCTGAGTTAGGTCAATCAACTTTGAGTAGAGCAACTCAGAGTTAAGCACACACACCGCGACTATAAAAAGGCATTATCAATGGAGCGCAGATATTACGAGTGACTATGGCAACATCTTAAAAAAAGAGATCAGCATTTCTTTCTCCAGCTGAACTTGATGTGATCATGCAACATTATAGCAAATATGAGTGTATATATTTAAGAAGAAGCAACCATCAGTGAAACTTTATCTTATATGTTTGGTGATTGTTTGTACTGTGTTGATGGATGGGATGTCTGTCTGTTTTTATGTTCTGCAGAGCAGGAACCTGCTGAAAAACAGCATTCATGCTGAGTCAGGCCCGATTATCTTTTAATCTTTTCCTGTTTAA